GGGGGGGTGTCTGACAAAAAACCCCCACACGATATAAATAAAAATCCACACACATTCAAAATCGACGACGATTAAACTGGTAAAACAGTTCTCCCAATCCTTTCAAGCGACACAAGCCAGAGAACAGAGAATGGCGCTACATTAATGTCGCGCGACTGTTGTGCTGTACACGATAGCTATGGCACCTAGAGAGCAGGAACAACAATACTATTTGTCCCTGGATGGCTGAACAAGCATTTTAAACAAGCTGGGACAAGACATGGCGCTAAAACTAGAACACTAAAAAAAAAAAAAAAACCCGAGTAAAAAAAATGGATGTGTGTAGCTGAGTATTTCAGTATGTACAAAAAAAAAATTAAAAATAAAAAAATGAAAACTTGAACAGCTTCCCTGTTCTAAAAGGAGTCAGCTGTAAACGAGTGGCCACACGTTACTGGCACAACACACAACATTCTCACCCGCTCAAAACATTCCAAAGGGTAAAACAAAAGCCAAAACAGTAGTGGAAAAAGAGTCTGGAGAACTGAAAAGACGCTTAATATACTTCCAAACGAATTCTGAATCTCAGGGACATAATAGATGGGAGCCACCGAGGCTGCCATAGAGAGCAATTGCGTCTGACAACACAGGAGAGTTGTTTTATCACTGTCGTCTGTGTCGACGACTCGTTTAAGATAACTTTTTTTTTCACCTTTATGATAACTTTCTCCTGCACGTCTACGTGCAAGAACATACGGTAGCTTAAATACTTCCCTTTATGAAGCAAAAGTAAAATAAGTTCTAAAAATAACTTGAGAAGTTCCGACGAAGAATGATATAGAAAGAGTTCAGGGGGGAGGGGGGGGGGGGCGGTACTTGAATCTTTCATCTTCTCGCCTCACTTAACCAGCCCACTGGACATTCCCACAAGCTGATATAGGGGCTTGATCACAGGCTAATTACACAACGACAAACACACAGCCTACAACAACAAGAACAACAACCCACACAAACACACACAGTTATCACTACCTCTACAGCATACAAAGAAGTTAGTTTCGGAAACACAACACATCTTTGTGGCTATCTAGTATGGCACACCTGAAAACATAATATTATTATCGTCACACTGTGAAAAGTTTCAAATTATACACTTTGTATATTATATGCGTCTCTGGGTTTTTTTTCCTTTCGTGAAAAAGCATGACAAAAAACAAACAACAATGCAGACCAGTACAACAGTAAAATGGTGAAAAATAGTTTTAAAAAACTAATGGATCTTAATTGCATCCTTGAATCAGTAATATATCGAGAAAAAGGAAAAAGAAACAACTGCAAATGGCACTAAGAGTGGCATATTATATCTGAGGTGTGTTGTGTAGCTAAAAGCTTTATATTGTCTCTTTTATGACGCCATCTTGTCTTGCAGCACCGAACTTTAGCATCGTCGTCGTCATAGCGACGAACTCCCAAGCCAGTCACGTGACAGAACGAACAGTATCCCAGCAGTCACTGAGCGAGATCACATGGTCCGTCACAAGATGGCGCCCGTCCTTCTGAAGGTGTTTGTAGTGGACACAGCCGGACCACTACCACGGTCAGGGGCCTCAGTCCAGATAACAGAATCAAATAGTTCGACATTATGCTTGTGAAACTTTTGTACATAGACAGGCCTAGCGGGGGGCCTGCAGCTTCCCTGGTGATGTTCTAGATCACAGAGGTAAAAGACGCAGCTGACGACACGCTGGGCCGCCGAGTCCTGCTGTAGGCGGCGTTAATGGCGCGAGAAACAATGCGTGTCGCAGTCCGCTACTGAGTATGGCATCATTATATTAAAGGTGGCAACCTCTAGGCGAGGTCAAGGCAAGTTATTGAGGTCAGAGGTCAGTCTTCACAGGGTGAAGGTCTTCAGTATTGTCTTCAAGTATCTTGAGCTCAGTCAGTCAGTCTTATCGCCACAGCAACAGATGGCAGCAACGGCGAATCGCCGCGGTCCGGAGCGGGATGTTAACGCAGCGCCGCAGTTCAGAACACGCCGGTGGTGGAGTCTGTAGAGCGGTTCACTTCCCCATTAGACGCTTCTGAGCTGAGATCGCCGGCGTCAGCTGCAAGAAGCCGCGCGTTACGGTTCTCCACGCACTTCCGCATGTGTTTCTCCAGCGTGCTGGGCACAGAGAAAGGCATCTGGCAGAACTTGCATGTGTACACATCCTTGCCCAGACGGCCGTGTGTCTTCATGTGTCGCGTCAGCTTGCTGGACTGAGCGCACGCGTAGCTGCACAGACTACACTTGTAGGGCTTCTCCCCGGTGTGCGAGCGCCGGTGGACGGTGAGGTTGCTGCAGTTCTTGAACACCTTCCCGCAATACTCGCACGTGTCGTTCCGTCGGTTCTCCTTGCGTGGCGTTCCACCGCCGTTACTGGGCAGGAGGAGGTTGCTGGTGGGGCTACTGCTGCTGCTGCCGCTCGTGCCGTGCCGGGCGTGGTGTGTCGGGAAGGAGGGCGGACTGGAGAGGCCCGGCTTGAATAGAGCCGGTATGCTGGGGCTGTCCGAGGAGGACTTTAAGGCACTGCTGGCAGTGGAGACACTCGGGCTGAGGCTAAGACCATTGTGACCCTCGGCGGAGAGACTCAGGTCGCGGGCGTGTGGCGGGAAGCGGGGCGGGTAGCCAGGGAAGAAGAGCCTCACCGGATTGTCAGGGTAGAGCCAGGGGTGGTGGAGCCGGCTGTAGGCCGCCGAGGCCGCCACGGGGTCCATGCCGCCGGAAACCAGGGAGTCCACGGAGCTGGGCCAGGAGGTGGGCGTGCCTGCCGCGTCACGCTTCAGACCTTTACTCAACAGGTCTGTGGCGCCCAGAAACACGTGCTCCTTCTGGTTGGACTTATCAGACTCTTTATCCCCATCCTTCTCGCGCTTGGCAGCGGCGGGGTGCGGGGACTTGGGGCTGGCGGAGCGTGGCGTGTCTTCGCCGTCGTGGCTGAGTCCGCTCTTGACGCTTCCTGCGCGCTCCTCTGCCGCCTTGTCCTTGCCGTTGACCTGGCTCTCCGCCAGCGCCGCCTGGAACGCCTCGTTGTACGTCTGTATGCTGGTGAGCCCGGAGTTCTTCATCACCTCGCTAAGGAGACTCTCCACCGGCTTGCTGCTAGCCTTGGGCTTCATGGACAGGTCACTGGGCTGTTCCTCTTCCTCCTCCTCTACCTCCTCCGGCTCAACTTTCGTCTCTCCGTTGTGCTCCAGCTTGATCCTCTTGGCGTCGTGGCGAATCTCACCCGGCTCGGCACCTTCTTCCGCAGCCTTGCTCGCCTTCATTCTCTCTAGAACCTCGCGCTCTTCTTCATTCATTTCTTCTTCAATCATCTCCTCCTCATCTTCCATTTCCTCTTCTTCTTCCTCTTCTTCCTCGTCCTCATCGTCGTCATCATCCGCTTTCTCAGCGGCGGCGGCGTCGCTGGGTGAGGTGCTGCCGTCAGGCTTCATGGAGTGTGTCTTCATGTGCCGCTTGAGCTTGCTCTGCTGTGTGCAGGCGTGCGGGCACATAGGACAGCGGAAGGGTTTCTCGCCCGTGTGAGAGCGTCGGTGAACCACCAGGTTACTCTGGAAGCGGAAAGACTTGCCGCAAAACTCGCACGACTTCAACTTGGGCGGCAGAGCCAAACCGGGGGAGCTGAGACTCGCGCTATTCACGCCGCGCGGTGATCCGGCCGCCGAGGGCTCTACGCACGGACTCTCGGGCTTGGTGGAGGTAGGCGTGGCCGCCACGCCAGGCGTCGGGGGCTGGGCGGAGGAGAACTGCGCTTTGGCAGCGACAGTGGCGACAGGGCTGCTCGCTAGCTGCTTCAGGCGCATGGAGTAGTAGTCGTAGGGAGACTCCAGCGCCGGTGACATGTGCGTGCGTGCCCGGTCAAACGGGCTGTGGTGGAAGGCCGGGGGTTCGAGTCCTGTAGCCGGACGTCCCAGAAACTGTGGCCGCAAGCGGTAGTCGTTGATGAGATCCAAATCGAAACTGGGTGGTCGTGGGAAGGGGCTGAGGGAGGTAGGGTGAGGCAGGCGGGTGTCTAAGGGCAGGCGGAAGGGGGAGGTGAAGGGGTTGTGGGCGTGGACGGGATACGGGGAGGCGGAGCCAGCGCTGCCAGCTGACGGGGCGGAGCGGTGGTGGTGGTCCATGGCGGAGCGGGGGGAGGCCACCACCAGGTCGATGGGGGACAGGCTGCTGGGGGCGGGGGGCAAGGACTGGGAGTGCGTGCTGGAGCTGCTCGTGCTGCTGCCTGGGCTGGTGTAGATCTTCATGCCGTGCTCCTTCTGTGCGTGCTGCAGCAGCGCCCAGGCCGAGGTGTAGGTGCTGCGACATGTCTCACACACGAACCGGGACGGCTCTGTGGGCACAACAGAAATAACATAGATCCATAAGTTCAATTGTCTGTGTAGTGTGAAGTGGTCAAATCTCTTTGCAGACACATAACATTACATACACTTACAACGTGATAAACTCCTACTAAAGAGTACTGTTCAATAATAACTGACAATGATATTAATAATAATAATAA